AAAGAAAAATCAAGGAAGAAGGAAACGTGATTAAAAACAAGGAAAAAAGAGAAGGTGCCTCATAGTCAGCTGGCAGCTGAGAATTACCCTATGAATTATACGACAATGAAACCCATCTTCAAAGATAGGTGTCAGCTTTTCTTATTGAAAATCTAATTACTGCTTTTATACAAGGAATAATTGCAAATATAGGGATGTAAGCTCAGTATCAGGGTCCATAGATTGTATCTTCCAAGCTTAGTCTCCCTACAGATATTATGTAAATGAGACAAAATATCTCAAACACTACTTTCAGATGGAAATTCATAACTATAAAATAATAAGCACAATCCTGATGTGGTAAGTTCTCTATCTTTCCTTTCATCAGTTAAGAACAAAACTATTATCATGTTATGGTGGACACCATTAATATGCAAACAGTTATTTTAGAGAAAACCATAAATGCTCTTGATATAAGTATTTCCATCACATTAAAAATTTCTGAAATGGTGAAGAAATTTTACTAAACTTGACAGTTTATGTGCCGTGCATAGAGAGAAATGCAAAAAAAAATACTGGTAAAACTGTTGAATAGAAACAAAGTAAAAATATTCCAAACAAGTAAAAGTGCTCTGGAAATACAAAAAAAACCCATGTTATTTAGGGGAGACAAATGAGCCGGGATACTGTAATTCACAGCATTTTCCTTAGGGTCTGTAATATTCCCATAGTTCTGAAGACACTAGTCCATGATGGACCAGAGGCTGCTCTGCTGAGGAGTCTTCCCAGGGCCCCCTTCACATCCTTGTTCCTCAGGCTGTAGATGAAGGGGTTCAGCATGGGGGTCACCACAGTGTACATCACAGAGGCAATTGAGCTTTCATGGGAAGAATGGGTCACAGCAGAGCTGAGGTAGACTGCAAGTCCTGTTCCATAGTACAGTGCGACCACACAGAGGTGAGACCCACAGGTAGAAAATGCTTTATATCTGCTTGCAGTAGAGGACATTCTCATTAAAGTAGAGACAATCTGAAAGTAAGTGTAGATAATCCCAGAAATAGGAAATAAACCCAGTAGGACAGTTAACACATTAAGAAAGATGCTATTGATTAGGGTATCAGATCTGGCCACATTGAGAACCTGAGGAAGTTCACAAAAGAAATGAGGGATTTCAGTGCCTATAGAGAAGGTGAGCCGCATCAGCAGGAGAATATGAGTCAGAACTACCCATAAGATGATGAACCAGGACATGAGAACCAGAGAGCCACAGAGCCGAGGGTTCATGATGAGTGTATATTTCAGCGGATGGCAGATGGCTACAAAGCGGTCATAGGCCATCATGGTCAGTAGGAAATTGTCAACTCCAAGAAATGTCAAAAAAAAGAATGCCTGTGTGAGGCACTCTGTATAGGAGATGTCTTTGTTCTGTGCCTGGATGTTCACTAGCATCTTTGGGACTGTGGTGGAAATGAAGCCAATGTCCACAAAGGAGAGGTTACAGAGGAAGAAGTACATGGGGGTGTGGAGGCAGAAATCAGAGATGACAGTGAGGATGATGAGCAGGTTGCCAAGAACTGCAAGAAGGTAGATGGATAGGAAGAGTCCAAAGAGAATGGACTGAACTTCTGGATCCTCAGAGAGGCCCTGCAGGAGGAAATGTGATCGTGCTGTGTGATTTGCTGCTTGCATGTTGCTGATTTATCTTCGGGAGAAGGAAGACACAGCGGTGTACAATGAACAGCCAATGACCTCTCCACAATATCATGTCTCCATGGCTGTCATTCTCTCAGTGTTGTGTCAGTCGATGAGAGTGGTTCCTTCAGCAAAGGGTAGCTCGTTTCCTTTTTAAATGTGTATAATAATTCACACTTTCCTTAATGCATGAGACATTTATGCATTTTTAAATTATGGAATCACTTTTTTCAATGTCCCCATTTAAAATAATGGAAATGATTAATTTTTGTTTGATATGAGTTTTATAAAATGATTTAAAGCTTTAATTTTTTTCTTTGACAATCTCTGTACTTCTTTATTGTACTATCTTTACAACAGTGATTTAACAGTGCATTTTATACATTTAGTTTGTGATTTGACAATTCAGTTTTTTCAGATCTATATACTTTTTTCTAAAAATGTGGTTATTACTGATATACTGATACACTGATACAGTGAAAAAGTTAAAAGCAGGCTATCTTTCATTCTCAGAGGGAATCTCAGTAAATGACAGTAATCTTTATTACTATTCTTATTCACATTTTCCTTTTATATCATATTATTTTGGATATTTATTTCTTTCAAAGACTTTCTTACATAGAATCTTTGTCATTCAACATAAAATCCTTGTTACCTTGAAAGAGAATTTTAAACTCTAATCATTAAATATACAACATCTCTTCATTAAGAACAGTACATGTAAAAAAAAAAGAACAGTACATGTTCACTACATGGAAGGATTAAAACAAAATTAAATAAAATGATGATTTTGTTTTCTACTCTTTGCTGTGTTACAATGAGCACCTCATAAATAAGAATTTCCTTGTTAAAATCTCAGTAAATATGTCTTAATATCTCTCATTCAGCAGTATCTCATTAAATGGCAGCAGTCACCATTAGAGGGATTTCATGCGATTATAAGTACAACTGGTTTGTTACCTCTTTTAACGTACAATATAACTCTTATAAATTCTGAATATGTCTATGGATTCTTCTCTTCTAGAATGTCTCCCAGGTGAGTTCGTCTCAGTAGGGGAAAAAGCATGAGTACTACATAGATAAAGGGAGGAAATGAAAACAACCACCATTAAAATCAAATAATAGTTCTATGCGATCTCAAATTTTTATTTTCCAGACTGTGAATGTACTCTTAAAATCAGCAAAGTCAATGGCCAAAATATGCATTGATTAAAATTAAAATATTCAGAAATGATATCGATGGAATTATTGTATATACTTTAAAATAAAAATGCATATTTTAAACATCGTCTTTTTTGTTCATGAAAAAAAACATTAGTATAAGGAATGCCTAGTGACTTTTTAATTAATAAAAGAAAACAATATTGTGGAGCAGATTCATCTGAGAATATGGGTAGGTGAACCTTCTCTAAAGTAGGAAGAGTTGGGCTGGCAATCTTAAGAGATGAGGAAGGAAGAAACGCTTTAGACGGACAGGACAGATTGTGTGGCTCCCCTGTCACACACCAAGCTTGTGGTTGTCAAAGCTGCTGCTCAACATCTGTCTTGTGAGAGGCTTGCACGGTACCTGTAACAATGTAGGCTCTGAGCAAGCTTGGTGTATATTAAACTTCAGGATTAAAGTGTCTGTTATCATTTTAAAAAATGAAAATTTCCAGTCTATCCCAAGACAGTACAGACACAAAACTAAGTAATCACTCAATGTTTTCCCAAACATGTAAGGAATTGGTAATGTGGCAAAGGGTAATTGAATTGGTTATAAAATACCATAAATAACAATGTTTTGGGTAGACACTATTGTGAACATGAAGACTAAATCATAACTAAAATAATATGGGAAAACAAGGCTTATCAGAATAGGGAATCTGCCTGTGAATATGGGTGAGGAATATAATAGACAAACATCACTAAAATGGAAACAAGGCAGATAATACCTCATATGTAATAGATTTTCAGCATATAGCTAATAAGAAATAACTATTTTAAAAATGGATGCACTTTGAGAACATAATGTTAGGTGAAATAAGTCAGAGTCACAAGTTTAAATATCACATGATTTATCTTCTATGCGAGACTTGATGTATACACAAATTAAACAGCAACGTAAAAATAGTTCACAGGATTCAAGGAGAAAGACCTTCTGCAAAAGAGAAAGTATCCAAGAGCTAGAGGAAAGGTGAAGGGAGAGGAGCAGGGGATAAAAAAGAACTAGGATGGTATATGCACCTGTGCCAGTGGTGACTGTAAACCTTATGCATTGCTAATAAGTGCTGATAAAAAATTAAAATTTAAAAATGCAAGAAAATCGGATCAGAGACTTCAACTTATGAGAAAAAGCATTGAAGTGTTGAGGATCTTTAAAACAAACAAACAAACAAACTCATATTCAGCAGACTTTCTAGTTTCTAAAGCCAGAGAAGAGGAAGGGAAGTAACTGGTAGTCAGGTCCCAATGAAACCGACGCTTTTGCTTCAGAATGTATATACTTCATCTCCATAGACCAAATATGGGGATTTCACAGTATTGTTGTTCTAGTGGGCAAGACAAATACCAACCTTGCCTTTCCCCTCTCCTTCTTCCACCTGTCCTCGCTAGAACACATTCACCTCTCCTGTGTCTGTCGCTGCAGCTTTCCATTCTACAAGCACTGTCCCTAGGAACCCACTTACCTTTTCACAGAGGGTGACCCCAGAGATAAAGGTGAATGGCCACAGGTATGTGTTTATACTTTCCAGATTCTAAAGATTTGAATCTCAAAGCTCCTAATTAAATAAATTGTATGACGTTTTCAGTCTCCAAAGAAATCAGCTCCCTTGGGCAATGAAGAAAAAGAGGAAATTTTTTAGTCCATGTTGTGTTTATTGACGTAAGGAGATCATCTTGTTTTCTCCAGGAGAAATTTATTTTATCTTTAACTGATTTCAAAGTCACAAGTTTTACACCAAGCAATACGTAATTTCTTCTTGAAAATGTTTCCAGAACATTCTCACCTGGGGTACCTACTGAAAACAATCTTTGAAAATTTTATGGATTGTTGCCCACAATGATACAAAATATTAGAAGTCTTTTCCTATTAAATTTTTCTCAATTTTTAAATTTTATCTTTCAGGTGGACAAATAAAATCACATGCACTTCTCATATACAGCATGATTATGAAGGATGTAATAAATTGTGAAATCAGTAAGTCAAGAAAACTGTTTCCATTACTTCATATCTCTATCATTTTAATGAAGAGAACACATAACTAACATCTATTCAGATTTTTTCTAAGATATATCATCCATTGTGTTAAACATGCTTTATAATTTAATTTTACTTGCTATTGTCAGTATATGTTTTACTTATTTTATCAGTAATTATTTAACAAACATTATATTTACATTTCTAACAGGCAATTGGTACATGTACATACTTAATCATGATCATTGTTATTTTCCCCTCTTATGTCTGCCTTCCCTTCTTCCTACATCTTCATATCCTCTGATATCTATGGAACCCACATTCTTGTTTCTTTTTTTCTCATTGAGTTTATTGGTACTGTTTAGGTATACAGTACAGTTACATTCATCATTGGGATCTTGTACCTTTACATAACAGGTTTGGCTATCATTTTCCCCCCTACCTCCTACCCTCACCTCACCCCCTCCTCCCTTCCATATACACAAAAACTTTGTTTCCATTTTTTCATTTTCTCACATTTTTTCTCTTCCCTTATTCCCTTTCCCCTACACCTTTAGCCCTTGTCTTCCTATTTCACATTGTCAGTTATACCATTTATATCTTAAGCGAAATAAGACACATTTGTGTAAATACCAAATAGTTTCTCTGGTGTGAAAAAGTAAGTGTAAATAAGATCTACATTCTTATTTCTTAACATATTTTTTACTCTGCTATTCAAATTTGTATTCTGGTTGGGGCTCCAGAAAAACTGTGGGATATTAACTTTCTGCAGTTGATTTTTAAAATTATTATTATGGTCCCTACAAGTGGTGGTGGACATATTCATGTCTTATGAATTACACAGCTATAAACATGATATTCATGTATCACTGTAATATGGTGCCTTTTTTTCTTCTGGGAAGATAGTTACAAGAGGTATATCAGGGTTAAATGAGCAGAAGAATTATAGCAGTTTCCTTTGTTTATGGTATCTACTTACTGATTGTGATTGTAACTATTATCTTACATTTCCACCAATAATAAAGGTTTTATTTTTCTCATCAGAATTTGTTGTTTACTGAGGTATTTTTTTCTCATTGAGGTTATTGGTACATTTTAGGTATACAGTACAGTTACATTCATTACTGGGATCTTGTGCTTTTACATAATAGGTCTTGGTTCTCATTTTTCCCCTTAACCCTGCCCTCCCATCACCCCCTCCTCCTTCCCAATTTACAAATACTTTATTTGCATTTTTTCATTTTCTTGTGGAGTGCTTTGGTCTGCAGACAGTGCCAAGTCATTGTCAGCAAAAGAGCTCGTGAGGAATTTCAGTGTCCTGTTTGCTGAGCTATGTTGGGATTGTGGTTTATTTACAAAAGTTCCTTGTATAAGTCATCCTTGAACAAGATGTTTGTTCTGGGATGTCAACATTACCTTTATGACTGCTCCCTGAAGTTTGTTCCCCTAATATTGATCAAAATATACTTTATTTATGATCTTATAACTTCTTATTTCTATCGAGTTAATATAATTAACAAGATATATAAAGGAAGGTTTTTATAAGATCTTTAAACCTTCTCCCAAGATAATAAAGAAGCTTCAGAAAGATCCTGAGTGTTGCGTACTTTCTTACTGACAAGCGGCTCGCGACAACTGGTGCCGAAACCCGGGACGCTGGGAACGATCTCAAAACAACAGATCCAGGCACCGGAGGAGGTCCCTGTGCTGAACAGGAGGATTCAGAACTGAGGCGGTCCTAACCTGGTGGTAAGTGCTCTTCCTAAAGTCATGGGTGCAAATAATTCATCTCCGCTTATAAATTCTTTGTCTAAAA